AGCACGTCCTCACAGTCCCGTGAGCTGTGTGCCTTCTGACCAGCACATCCCTCCTTTCTAGACCTTACCTCTGAAGTCACACCAGACATCTTCCCTGCTTTCTAGTCTTTAGAAAGCCTGCCTGTTCTCCCCTCCCCTCCCCTCCCCTCAGCCCTCACCAGAAACAAAGGCTTTAGGACTGTGGGTCTGCGTGATGTCCTTCAACAGTTGCTGCTCTGTGACCTCACTCCAGCCCCTCTCCTCTCCCCAGGCTGAGCTGATGAGTGGCCTAATTGAGTATTGCATTGAGCTGAGCCAGGCCTCTGAGCCCACTCTGCCCCAGGAGAGTGCATCTGGACCTCAGGAAGCTCCCAGCTCCTCTCCACCACCCACTCAGCGCCCCAAGCTGCGGAGGCAGGGTAGTGTGGTGTGTAGCCGGATTCAGCATCTCTCCACCATTGACTATGTGGAAGATGGTAAGCCTCTGATGGTGTGCCTGATCACACCATGCACAGGGACTCCAGAGGGTGGGAGAAGAGCTGGGGCCTCAGCCCTCAGGGAAATTTCCTGTTGGTCCCATCTTACCGCTGCCCTGACAAACATATCCATAGTAGCGTCTTCCGGAACATGGAAAACAGGAAAGAAACTTTTCATGCCTTTTTTTTCTTAAGTGTAGTACTAGGGCCAATGTAAGATGGCTTGGTGGGTAAATATGCTTGCCATGAAGCCTTACAGGTAAGTTAGATCCCTTGGACCACAGGGTAGGGAACAGAATGGACTCTGACATCCACATACATACACCATGTCAGGCACACCCATATATCCAGACACACACAAAGAAAAAAACACGTAATTAAAAAGAAATTACCCGGGCTGAGAGATGGCTCAGCGGTTGGGAGCACTGGCTGTTCTTCCAGAGGTCCTGAGTTCAATTCCCCGCAACCACATGGTGGCTCACAACCATCTGTAATGAGATATGGCGCCCTCTTCTGGCGTGCAGGCATATATGGAGGCAGAATGTTGTATACATAGTAAATAAATTGGTATTCCATCTGACCTCTGTAGAGAGATTGAATTGGATGTCATGTCATGCTGTGGCAGCTGCATAGCATATCTAAAAAGTGCAAAGCTGTAGACGAGGTAGGAGAGGATGGGTGTGTCCCAGGGGGGCCTTTTTTTTTTTTTTTTTTTTTTTTTTGTGGTTGTTTTTCTAGACAAAGTTTCTTGGTGTAGTGCATGCCTTTGGTCCCAGCCCTCAGGAGGCAGAGGCAGGTGGATCTCTGAGAGTTTAAGACCATCCTGATCTACAAGACCTAGTTCCAGGACAGTCAACAAAGCAGAGAAACCCTGTCTTGAACCACCCCCTTCCCCCCAAAAAAAGTTTCTTGGTTTAACAGTTCTAGTTGTCCTGGGGTTAACCCTGTAGATGAGACTGGCCTCAAACTCACAGGGATCCGCCTGCCTCTGCCTCCA